TCCAGTGGCCTCTGTTCTGTGCCTGGCACTCTGTAGGCTAGAGGAACAATAGTGAGCATGTGAATCGCTGAATAAATGAATGTGTTGGTGGATGCAAAGACAGCATAAGGCAATGGTGAAGGACCAGATACCACACGCACCATCAGAGGCTCAGGCTATTTACAAAAGGTTCAAGTGAGAGGTCTTTCTCACACCCATGTTGTGGTCTGTGCTAGACTCATGGTGCTCGAGTTGGACCGGGAGACAGGGGATTTATGTTTAAAGAGTCCATGAAGAGAGGCAGGTCTGAGCACGCATCCAGAGGCCCACTCAAATTGGCTCCGTCCTTTGCTCACTAGGAACCCTCCAGCAAGAAACAGAAGGCCTTTGCACCCCAGTGTCCTCCTTGTAAAATGAGAATGAAGAGGGAATCAGAGTCCATACACACTGCCTGGCATGTTGCAGAGCCATTGATAAGCAAAGGTCATCTACAAAAGCCATCCTCATCCTTCAGCCCCAGCAGGGACCTCCAGCGTCATCTCAGGGAGGTGTCATGACTTCATCCCGCAGGTGATAAAATTCAGGCTCGTAGAAAGCCTCGTTTATTTGCACGATGGCACACATAGCTGTTTCGTATCTGAACCAACAGTCAAAGCCTACATGTGAATGCCAAAGCACGCTAGCTTCCTAAGCTGCAGGCTAGCATGTGTTTCTGCGAGGTCCTGTCCAGGTCCTGTCCAGAGACTGGACCTCTCAGAGCAGAACTATTTCGTGGCTGACTCATCATTGAAGGGAACCAATAAAGTCTACTCTGGGAGTAACCCCTCTTTCTGTTGAACCGGGTCTTTGGGAACTTTGCCTCTGGCTCCTCTGTCAATTAGGGAGTTTGGGCTAGGACACCTCCAAATGGAACCCCATGAAAGCACACTAAGGAAAGGAGCATCAAATCAATAGCCAGACATGGAGACCTGAGGGTGAGCTTCGGTTTGGCAAACACATGTAGGAACTAGAAGACGCAAAGTCAAAACTCCAGGTTCACACTGACTCTGAGTAGTCCCACCAAGGGACTCGCAGATACTCTGTTTCCAATGACGGCTACACTGGTGGCCGAGTGAGGCCCTTGTCTAAGTCTGAAATCAGACCCTCCTGTGAATGAGAGGAAGGAGGCCAAGAGGCCAGAGAGGCTCACTGCCTTCATTGTCTGATCTTCTCAACACCACCACTTTGTTACAGAGTCTGGAACCTGGCTCTGCTGGCCGTGTGCCCAGAACTGGGGCAGCCAAGGTATGTCTGGAAAAGAAGGCTTCTTCAAGGCAAGCATCCCTCATGCCAGGCAGGCCAGTAAAATGAGCTGCTGTTTGCAGCCCGTCCCTGCAGGCTCGCAGAAGCCAAGCTCCCTCACTCAACCAGTGCAAAGTCAACAGCTGTTGAATGCCAGGCATTGAGAATATAGAAGCAAGTGTGTACAGACCAAGGATGCCTTCGGTGTTAATTGATGATTTCCTATCTTGTGCATGGTATGTATTGCTATGGTATTTCACTTGGATCATAATTACCTGTGATGTCCACAGAGGGACCTTGTCAACTGTCTTTGCTAGCCAGGGAAAAGTGGGGCTGGGAAGCAGGCCAGTTAGTGAGTTGGCCTGAAGTCCAGTCCAAGATTTCGTAGTCAAAATATTTTCAAAAGATTTTGTTGGGACTTTGCTTGCAAAATAAACAAAAAACTTGTGAAAACAGGTTGGCTTTAAGCTATGTTTAAAGTCACTTGGCATTTTTATTATGACTGTCGAAGATATCTTAGACGCAAGGTAGAAGCCTGTGGTATGGTTAGCCTCTCCAAAGGGGCCCTGCCAGGGGCTGCAGAGATGCCTCAGCGGTTAAGAGCACTTGTTACTCTTTCAGAGGACGAGGGCTCACTTCCCAACACCCACGGGGAAGCCCTCAACCACCTGTAACTCCAATCCCACGGTATCCAGTGTCCTTTTCTGGCCTCTGGGAGTACCAGGCATGTGCAGGGTGCACACACATACATACAGGCAAAATATCCACCCATAAAAGAGCAAAACAAATAAATAAATCTATTTTAAAAATGAAGTGACACTGCCCTGAATAATTAAGTAAGAAAGTGACAGAATACTGGGTAAACAGCTATTATTTGGGAGTTTTCTTAATATATGATACCCTACACCTTCTAAAGGCTAAGTGTGTGTGTGTGTGTGTGTGTGTGTGTGTGTGTCACAAGATGACCTGTAATAGTCATTTCTCTCCTTCCACCATGTGGGTTCTGAGGATTGAACTCTTGCTCATCAGGCTTGGCAGCAAGTGCCTTTACCCACTGAACCATCTTGCCAGCCCAGCCTTCTTGCCTGGAATACATGAGACCCAGTTTCAAAACACATTCACACGTGCAAGGGGTTGAGGAAGAAAGAGAATGGATGATCAGAGTTTCCTCCGAGATTACACATTTAATAAAGTGCAGCTCAGGAATCTGCTTTTTCAAATTCTTCTGTGGTGCCACCAATGCAGCTGATCTCAGGTCTGGATGTGAGGGCCGCTAGCTTTGGGCACAGCCAGCGCTGGGAAATTTAAAATCAGTCGCATCAGCTATTCTCAAGGTGTTGAAAGGACTCACGGGGCTTCCCTCCTACATTAGTTTATCTCCTATTGTTTGTGTGGTTGTATCTTGTAATTTGGGGTGTTACACTGCATTGCTACTTTCTAAGATAAATTGTCTTAATGTTTAACAAGGTACTTAAGTCGTTAAATTTCACTCAATGAATTTTCACAAGATGGCCAAACCTATGTAAGTAGCACCCAAATCAAGAAACAAACAAACAAACAAAAACAAAACAACAACAACAAAAACCATCCTGGGGCTGGAGAGATGTGCCCCTGAAGAGGACCTGAGTTCGGTTCCCAGTACCCCCGTGGTGGCTCATGAGTGCCTACAGTTCCAGCTCCAAGGGTCTGCTTGAGAACCAAACACATATGGTTGCATCCACAGACACATAAAATAAACACATTTTTAAAAAAATTTAAAAGCATCCCCAACGTTCCAGAAACTGTCTGTGCTGTTTCGTGACTTCTGAGTCTGAATTTTGTCATTTCTGTTTCCGTGTGTCTGACTGAGCTCATAAAATGCATTAATGTCAGGCTGTGTCCATGAATTGGTGTGTTGTGGCAAGTGCTTGTATTTGTAAATATGTATTTCATATGAATGTGAGTGTGCCCGAGTGCATGTATGTGCACGCACTCAGAAGGTGTGTCAGACCCTCTGGAATGGGAGTTACAGGCAGTTGTGAACCATCGTGTAGGTTCTGGGGATCAAACCCTTGCTCTCTATGAGAGCAGTAAGTGCTCTCAACTTCTGAGCCGTCTCTCCTGCCCAGACGTTCATGTTATTGATTTTAACAATTTATAGGAGTGTGAGAAGTAGAATGTGAAAGTTGGGTGCAAGAGCAAGTGTAGGTGCGTGTAGGAAGTTTTAAGAGGTGGAGGCAGGGTTAGAAACACGAGGGTGTCCTCGGCTACACGAGTTCAAAGCCAGCCTGGGCTGAATGAGAGCCTGACTCAGTACAAAGAAATGTGGCTGGAAGGAGCATGTGGCGTTCCAGTGCCTGAGTCTTGATGCCCTTGTCTTCGGCCATGCTCATTGGTCTGGGCCACCAAAGGGGTGAGGGTATCGCCTCCAGAATGGCCAAGTCTTATCCAGACTCTTGCCGGCTTCAGCCTCGTCAGCTGAATGTCGTTGGCGACGTCCCATGACTTCACTGAACTCCACTCCCCAGACATGGAGCACAAGGATGGCGCTCAGCAAGGGTTGGCTCTCTGTTACTTTTCTGTGATATCCTAATTTGGTCTCAGGAGCTCAGAGCGCCGGTGAGCCTCCTGGATTCTCTGACCGCAGTTGGAAACCTTATTGCCTGAGCGAGATAGAGCAGCTTCCTATAGCTTCTCTCTGCGTTCTCTCAAGCCAGTGTTTACTGATGCAGCCTAGGCTGGAAACACTGTAAATGCAGCCTCACCCTGGCATGTGCTCTCTCTCCCCTGGGAAAGCTTATACTCGAGCTGTGGAAGGAAACCCTGTTTTCCTTGGCGTTGTCTTGAAAGGGGTGTTTAGTGGGTCTGCTCAGGATAAAGGAGACATAAAAACGGGTTGCTTTTGAGTACAAACCTTTGGAAGCTTCCAGCCTACCTGTGGTCCACTCACCAAGGCTGCCTAGGTTTAGACTCCGCTTCTTCTCTCATTGCTATAACAGAACACCTGGCAAAAGCAGCCGGAGGAAGGGAAGGGTTGTTTCGGCTCACAGTTTGAGGTATACAGTCCATCATGGTTGGAAGGCACGTCAACAGGAGCATGAGGCCGCTGGCCACGTGGCATCCGCAGTCAGGAAGCAGGAAGGTGCGAATTCTGATGCTCAGCTCGACTTTTCCTTTAAAAAACTGTTCTCATTATTTATTGCGTGTATGTATGTGTACATGTGTGTGAGGGTGTATGTACCATAGATACATCTGTGGAGATCAGAGGGCAGTTTTAGGGCATTGGTTCTTTCCTTCTCTCCTGCGGCTCCTGGGGATTAAACTCATGTCATCTGGCTTAACAGCAAGCACCTTGACCCACTGAGCTGTCTTACGGGTCATCTTCATTTAGTCTCTATTCCTAGTCCATGGCATGGTGAAGCCCAGTCAGGGTGGATTTTCTCTTCTTAAGTAAGTCTTTCCAGAGACATTTTCACAGACACGATGAGAGATGGTCTCCTGTGCGATTCCAAATCTAGTTCAGTTGGCAGTAATGGTTAAGATTTAAATTTATCCGTAGTTCTGTCCTCTGCTGCTGCCTCAGGGAACCCTGGGAAAATGGACAGCCAGAGAAGAATTGAGGTTAGGTCTGGTCTCAGAGCTCCTTAGCCCACCTCAGCCAGGGATGACCGAACTGCTCTCAAGGACCTGATGGCCTCCCTGAAGTCCTCCTACACCTCTGTCTTCTGTGCAGTCACCTGTCGACACTTTTTTCATTTCAGGAGGAGATGGGCATTTCCTGTGAGCTGCTGGAATCAGACTTCCTCAAGTGCAGCGTGGGGTTTCCTTTCATGAGGTCAAAGTCGAAGGTAAGGCCGTTGGCCAAGAGGGATGCTTCGTAGACCATAGTGCCCCAGCTCTTCCCATCAGTCAGTTATTGATGCACGCGAGCGTGCACACGCACACACACACACACACACACACACACACACACACACATATATTTTCTTCTAGGACATTCTGTACTCCTTTGAGTGCCCAACACCACATAAGAGAATGTGTGGTATAAACCTGTGACCCACAGTCCTGATTCTGACATTCCCTTGGGTCCTTAGTATTTTCTGAAGACCATTCAAATTTTTCCTGTGTTCTTGTTCATATTTTGAAAAGTTAAAGGCATTGAGGTCAACTTGATATTTAGAAGGAGACGAATTTCTTAAGCTCAAATAGTAATATTATATAGCATAGAAGATATTCATGGAATCTGCTAGTGGGTGCCATGGTTGGGAAAAAAATGATCAGACTGGTTGGTGGAAACAAAACTAGAATCTAAAGAGGCTAGGTCTGCCTTTGAGTTTGTAGATTTTTTTTCATGCTAGGATCTTAAAAACTCCCTACTCTCTGATTTACCTTTTGCTTCCACAAAAAAAAAGTAGAGGCTCCATTCTTTGCCCACACCTAGATGGTAGAATCAGACATTTTAACCTCTTTGAGTCTTCAGCTTTTTTGTCCCAGTACCTGGTCATTGTTTAAGAGACAAATAAGGTTTGCTGATATCTTGGCAAACCATGCAAACCCATCAACTGTGTTGAATGTGCCCTGTCCCATAGGCTACAGCCCAAAATGGGGCAGAAGGAGGAAGGTGGGCAGCTTTGCCCATGGTGAAGCATGTGGTTTGAATGTTAATGTGTGTGTGCACTCACCACTTTAAGTGTTTTGAATAACAGAAAGCAGACTTCATTGAGAGACCCACACTTTCTTGAACATGCTATTCTACTGTAAAAACCTAACCCATGTCACAAATCAAACCCAAAATGCATCAGGTAGAATGTGAGTTAAATTAACATGTATTAATTCTGAAAATGCCGTGAAGTCAATAGAAACAATGACTATCAGAACACTGTTTTCCTGTTTCCCCTGCAGAGGCCACACACATGAATAATTCTATTTCATTTTCCTTTTGAAAAGTCCACATGCAGATGTCAAGACTTTTAGCAAGACTAAACCCAGACGTGAGGGGTTAAGAAAATCCAGCTAGTTACACAAGGACTGAGCCCCCCCCCCCACCTGTGGCTCCTCACACTCCCCTGTCCCCACATCCTGGGGTCATCAGGGGCTAGGACACTTGCTCAGGCTCATGGCTACACTGCAGGCCCACTTTGATTAAAGACTGTGTGTTTCTGCCTGTCACTTCCAGCCTGAGCAGTTTTGTGCCTTTGTTTCTGGTTTTAACTGTCACTCAAACCCTGCACCCATTCCTAACTTCTGTCTTCATATGGTTGATTTAACTCAAATGTCCAGCCAGTTCTGACTCTACTGGGACAAGACCCTTGACCGTCCCTTCTTTTGTGTCCTCCTGTCCTATCTTCATACCTCATCCTTCTCATAATCCAAGTCCCTCTGCAGCAGAGATTTCTGCCTAGGAAGGATGTTCATGTCCATCATAGATAATGGTACAGTTTAATGGTCTAGCCCATTGCTCTCAAGTAGCATTCAGTTGCACAGAATTCAGTGTCTCAAAAAAGCATGCAATTGCCTAGGATTTATTTTAATGGAAACCAAATAAATGAGATACAATCCACAATCTCTCAGCATTTGTTGTAATTGAAAACCATCTTGTAAACATCACAGCTGATGAGATATGTGAACTCGGTAAAGACTGGGACGGTTGAGGGAGTGAAATCAGAAACTCCTGGTTTTACAGTTCCAGCATGCCACTGCCTCTGGGACTTCCTGTGGCCGAAAGTGGTGGCAGGGCCGGGAGAGGGAAGGTTCTGCTGCAAATCAGATACACATTAAAAAATCACCCTTGCTGTGCAGGTGACAGTCCAGAAGACACAAACCATTCTAGAATTATAGTTTGAGATGTGGAATGCTTGTGGGTGCCAAGTGTGCTCTCTTTCTTTTTCCCTAGTATGAATTCAGCGTCATCTTTGATACGAGCCATCTGTCTGGGGAAGAGGAAATTCTCACCTTCATTGTGACTGCTCAGAGGTAAAAGGGACTTAAACAGATCCCCTCCCCCCAAAAAAATAAAAAATAAAAACATTATGCAATTAGGGAAAGAACCTGCTTTGGGCATCCCTGGAATGCAGAGGATTCAGAAATGGCTACTCAGTGATAAATCCGTGTAGCACTGGGTGACAACAGATCTCTGCAAGGTGGTCATTAGGCTCTGCTGGCCTGGTGTATTTGTTGGCTCACATCTTGGAGTCCAGTAATCAGAGAGCTAGGAATGAAGACAGCTGCCTGCACAGTGATTTTTTTCTTGAAACCTTTTGTGTCTGAGCTTCCACAGGAAGATGCTGTCTGCACTGCATCATGCTCTGGCTCCTTCTGTCTTCACCTGTGTCTAGCTTTTTCTCTCATTCAACCTCTCTCCATAAAACTCCCCCTGTAAAACTGCCTCTCTCTCTGCATTGCCCCTTAAGCACCTTCCCTTTCCTCTCTCTTCCTGTGAGTTGGGCATATCCTATTCTGTCATAGCTTTCTCTGATTTGTCACATTTTCTGCCACTCTGTTGAACATAACTTTCAAACATGGGTGCTTCCTTCTACAAATTAACTTTACCTTCATGGTTTGGGATTAAGGGTGTGCACCACAATGCCTGGACATAAGCTTCTCTTTACCTGAAACCTGTTCTATGCCAGGCTGGCCTTGAACTCAGATCTGCTTGCCTCTGACTCCTGGATTAAAGGCTGGTTTGTATTCCAGCGGGATCACACAGAGCTAGAAGGTCTTTGGATGTGATCTCTTGCCAGAACAACCATGTTCTGAATTAACGTTTCTTTACAGAGTGCAGTCAGTCCTGCCTTTGTTAGTCTTCCCTGGAAGCACCCTCATAGACATGCATGTCTCCTGGGTGACTGTAAACCTACTCAAGCTTAGACCAAACCCAGTTAGGGCCGCCATCCCTACTCAGCGCTTCTGACTGAGCCTGGGAGGCCTGAAGATCACCCAGTCAGCTACAACTGAGGAGAGACGGGCCTTGTGAGGTGACATCCTAGTTCAAGGTCATGTAGTTAATTGGTCAGTTCCTGCTTGGCTGGGTTTCCCAAATCAGACAATGTTCCCCACGGTTTGTCAGGCTAGGTCATCTGTCTCTCAGGGTGGGGAAAGCCACCTGCAGCCTGCGCAGTTGGCAGAGGCACCCAAACAGTATATACAAAGAACAGGCCTGTCCCAGAAGCCAGGTGGACAGTCAGCGAAGGGCAAGGAGGGTGCTGACTTCTCCCCTTGTATAGCTATGTGAGCTACCTTCTGGAGCCACCTGCTTCTTGAGCCTTGAAGCAGCATGGAGGCATCAATGCTGGCAGCACCAATGCAGGAGGCGGCATTAGATCAGTGGGTGGGGACAGGCAGAACCTGATGAGGTGCGGGCAGGTGTGGCTGGACACCCAGAACATGTTCATTTAAAGGTCTAGTTGTTGCGCTGGAGAAAGGGCTCCATAGCTAATAAGAGTGCATCACTCTTGCTGAGGACGGGAGTTCAATACCCGACACCCAGGCTAATCACCTTACAACTCCCACTGAAACCTGAATCTGACTGCTGGTCCTCGGACCCACAGAGAACGCAGCATTGCTGGGCGGACCCAGCATTGTGCTCTGTCCTTCAACACCTAGCACGGCCAGGGGTCACAAAAAGGAACAGGACGTGGAAAGGATTTCCTTGTCAAAAAGAAAATGACACATCCTGCCTCTAGCCTCACACCCAGAGAGGGCAGAGGGCAGATGCACAGTGCTGAAAGCTTCCTTCCCTCTTAGAATGACAGGTCCACTGGCTAGGAGTGTGCTGGGCTTGAAGGCCCACTGGAAACACCTGTGAACTCTGGCATCTGCTGATACCTGATGCAACCCCACCCACTCCTGGGATTTGGCTCTAATTGGTTTGGAGTAAGAAGAGGGCATTGAGGTTTGGGGAAAGACTGGCTGATTCTAATTAATGAGCAAGGCCCGCTAGCTCTGTAGTCCTGACTTCTGCCCAGCATGCCACTGCTTGGTAAACGCCTGTTAGAGGTGCCTGCCATTTGCCAGTTACAGTGCTAAACACAAGTTACATTTTTAAATGCCTACTACCTGCTAAAGTTTTAAAAACCATCATATAATTAGTCTAAGGCTTTCCAGTTAATTCCTTATATTATAAATGTTAAGGAGATCATATAACCTTTTAAACATACTAGACTATTCCACATTCTTGCTTCTCTGGAAGATTTTGTGGAAATCTGGTCCACCCTTCCCCAAAGACTTCTCCTAACACTTGACTCCCTGCTACAACACACAGATCTCTAAAGCTACTTATCTCAAACCTGGCAGTTAAAATATCAGTCATTCCTCTCTTCCATCCCCACCCTTTGAAGGTTTCTTGCCTACTTACAGCTTTCAGAGGGCATCAAACTGAGACTAAACAGTGTCTCCCGGCCCTTCAGCTCCGCCATCAGCAGCCTAGCCTCACAGCCCACTTGGAAAGGTCCCAGCACATGAAGCTTGAGGAATGGCAGAGAGCTGTTTGATGTTTGGTGTCTTTATCTCAACTTTTCAGCTTGGCTCATTCTGGAATGGTTACTTGATGACAGATCAAACCGCTATTAGGTGTGAGCTGCCAGCAGCCCCAGGTGGCTGGAAAGATGGCAGGGCAAGGGATGACTCTTCCATCAAGAGCCAATTACCCAGGCCTGGGAGGATGCTGGGCGTAGGGCGGGTGGGGACCAGGGTGGCACCAGCTGCACTGACATCGAGGTCACCCTCGGACTGTCCCTGGCAGTGACTCAATGCTTAGATTACTCCCTGGAAAGGGCACGGTAAGGCATCTGGCCATGCGAGCACCTGCTCTGCAGTCATGTGGCAACCTTGTGAAGGACTGATGTCATCTCATGTGCGGAAGTCGGAGGCGGATCCAGGGCCAGTGACAGTGGCCCTGCATAGTCAGAGTGGTGGAGCACCATTGTCTCTGAACAATAGGAGAGAGAAGGGCTGTGAGGGCTATTTCATTTCTGTGGCCATTCAACACTTGCTGGTGGAAGAGGAAGGCGGTGGGCCAGAGGGCAGGACACCAGCGCAGGCGGGGTTAGCAGATGTTTGTCAGCTGTGTCTAAGGGGTCTGGAGGGCAGGCTTCATGTTCAGCTGGGGTGTCCTGTCCATTCCATGTGACAGAGCCAGCCTTCACTGTCCCAATCAGACCCAAGAGCCATGTCTCTCCCCAAGGTGGCCACTGTCCACCTTGGGCATCCCAGTCCTGGTTGAAGCTTAATGAACTAGTGAATCTAAGTGAGTAGAGCCTGGCTTGGCGTTCCATTGAGCTGGCTAAAATCCTACTTCCCTCTGGCTCACAGTGGACCTGTAAGATGTCTGAGCTGATCTCTTAAGTCCAGAGTGATGATCCCTGTGCCCCTGGACTCACAGTATGCTGTCCATAACCCTCCTTCCTGGCAACCATGTCCTAACTTTGATGGTCACTATCTGTGCTGGCTAGTTTTAACTGTCAACTGGCCACAGTCACTGGAGAAAGAAGCTTCAAAGGAGGGATCTCCTGGATAGGCTTAGCCTATGGGCATGCTTTTGATTGCTGATTGATCTAGGCAGATCTAGCCCATTGTGGGCCCACCAGTCCCTGGGCAGGGCATCTTGAGCTGCATAAGACAGGAGAAAGCTGCATGACAGCAAGCAGGCAACAGCAATGCATTCAGCCCTCTGTTCTTGACCGTGGATGTGATCTTCTAAGTTCCTGCCTTGACTTCCCTCAGTGATGGAAGTCACCTGAACACACACACACACAGAGAGAGAGAGAGAGAGAGAGAGAGAGAGACGGAACAGGGTTTCCACCTGTAGCCCCTCACAGCACACTCATCAGGAGGACTTAAATCATGGCTTCTGCCTCCCTGTTGGGGCTTTCTCTGGTGAAAGCCTACTCACCTCTGTGACGAGGAGGTAGCAGAGAATTCCTGTCTTCTCTCTCTTCTCCACCACAGTAGTTCTCAGGGGTCTCTATGCCCTCAGATGGGATACCCAAGATTCATGTTCTGTCCTCCTTCCCAAAGTTCCCCACCCCAAGAGAGCCTGAGTCCCCGCTGTCTCCAGTGTGCTCCTCCTGGATAGCAAGCCTCCCGTGGCTTCCTCCCTTTCCCTGTCTCTTTCTCTCTCACCCGTCAGTGTTTCCTGGAGTCACCTCCCACACACACTACTCAGCTTGTCCCCCACTTTATTCATGCCTCTGTACAGGGGGACTCTACCGCAAACAGAATGGGGAGGGAGAGGGTGAGTCTGAAGACTCTGAGGGCTGGTGTGCCACACAGGGCAGGCAGGCCAGCTGCTAAGTGGCTCACCGCTGTCCCTTCATGCTTCTCTCACACAGTGGCAACACGGAGCGCTCTGAAGCCCTACATGACAATGCTCTCACGCTGACGGTGCCACTGGTGCACGAGGTGGACACGTCCGTCACTGGGTACGTATCCAGAACACAGGGCACCCAGCGGTGGAATGCTATGCTGCTCCCGGATGCACGTGTCACCACCGAGGACTAGTAGCCCACCTACCTCCCTGCTGCCAGCCTGGGATAGCAGGGAGAAACTTCATCTGCCCTGGGGCCCACACCCACCTCCCATTCCCTTCTCCCTTTGGACTGTCCCAGCCACATAGCTGGTAACACAGGAAGAGTGATGATAAGTTCTCTGTGTATCTTTACATGAGCCTATTCTAAGGCCCTGGCCTACCCACACTCCGGAACGCTGTACAGTGACAGGCGCTGTGGTTTTGGGAGGGATTAAAACACCGGCCAAAAGCCGAGGGGCGGCAGGGTGCAGTGTTCCTCAGGCCCTAGCTCCTGGGAAGGCTGCCCTTCCGATCAGCTCCATTCTTACTTCTGGCTTCTCATATTACCTCCTCTGCCTGATGTCTGTGGTGGTCTGGAATGCGCAGGGAACCACCACAACAGCAATTGCAACCTGTCCGGGTGGAGGCCACGGCCACTCTGTGCCGCTGGCTTTGTTGGAAAGCAGGGCTTTTGGCTGTGTCCACTGGGACACAAAGCAACCTGAGTCAGCTCTCAGCCAGAGCTCAAGTGTAGAAAATGAGAATTTGGTTCCTCGCTGTAGCTTCAGCAAACAGACTACAAACCTCCCTGACAGTAAAAAGGCAGGGGTGCTTGGGGGAAGGGGGGATCAATTGGTTTAGATCAAACGAGAACTCAAGGAATCCCTTACCCCCATGCAAGCTGAACTTTTTCTCCCGTCTCAGTTTTCAAGTGCTTCTGGATCTAAGCCTTGGTCCAGAAGGGAGATGGTTGTTCCACAGAGGTGGGGGTGGGGTTAGGGGCATCCCTGCAGTAGCTGGACTCTGCTGGGAGGCAGCAAAGCAGCAGTTCTGCAGTTCTGCGTTCCCATTCAGCACTTCGTAGCGTGGCTCTTAGGCCCTCAGCACTGGTGGGATACGTTTGCAAAGGGGCACACACGCCTGTGTTCACAGCTGTCTTTAAGTTTCCTTATCCGTCCTGTCCAAGGGACAGGCTTTGTCCTCGGGGATGAAGGGAAAACACCCCACACACTCTTGATCATGTTGTCAAGGCCTTAGCAGACCTTGTTCTGAGGTACCCCCAACAAACCAGGCAGCCCCTCCTCTTTCCAGGGACGTGTGGGGTGAGTGTAAATGAGCCAGTTCTTGCCATTCGGCCGTGGTTGGGACTCACCATGTTACTAAAATAAAACGCTCACATTGAGGTAGAGGCTGCCGTCCTCCTGGACTCGTCCCGAAAGACCTCTCGCTGTTGTGTTAAGAGCACCTAGAGTCCACTGTTAGAGATATCAGTCTGCTCTATGGGGGAGGGGAGAGCAAAGGGGGAAGGCTGTCGGGTTTATTCACATGAGCAGTGTGAAAAGTATTCTCACCAAGTGAGGAACAACTCTTAAATCGCCCCTTAGAAGACCCTGATCTAACACTTCAAGATAATGTCATCATTTAATTCATTCCCCTTTGAAATACCTATTTCTTTTTAATTTTTTAGTGCATTTATTACTTGTGTGTATGGGCAGGCAGGCATGAGCAGGCACAGGCGCCAGACAGCAAGTGGAGGTCAAAGGTCAACTTAGGGGCATCGTCTCTCTCCTTCTACTACGTGGGTCCCAGAGATTGAACTCTGGCCATCAGGCTTTGTGGCAAGCATCCCTACCCCCTCAGCCATCTTGCAAGCTCCTAAAAGACCCAATTTCTAATAAGCAGTGAGTCTGACAGATAGAAATGATGCTTTAAAATGAATTTGTTACAGTTTTTTTTGGCAAGTACATAATTAACTTACATTTATTTCTCAAAAGCTTGTTATCAGCATACTATACAGAAATGCCTCTCAAATGACAAAGTGTATAATTTTATAATCAATGGGTTTCTGTTGGTTTTGGGGCTGAGGTTGGAGGGTTTTTTGTTTTGTTTTGTTTTTAGTTTCTGCAGCTTTTGATTTTTCAAACTGTGTTTTGGAAACATAATTGGGGTGATGGTTGGGTAGATGACTTAACAGTCAGTTAAGTGCTTGCAGAATAAAAGCACAGAGATCTGGTTTCGGATCCCCAGGACCCATGTAAGAAGCCAGGGGTAGCCACGAGATCTGTAATGCTAGGACAGGCAGATCCCTGGGGCTCTTGTTCAGTGACAGTTCCTGCCTCAGGAAATAAGGTAGAGAGAGGAGGACACCCAATGTTGACCTCTGACCTCTACACCTATGTGTTCACACATGAGAACCAACAGATACATATACACAAAGAAATATAATCTCAGTGTGCAATGTTTCTGTAGCCTGTTAGAGTGGCCTGGCGCTAAAAGACATGCCAGGAAAGCACGCTGGGACGTCCAGGGCAGCTGGGTCCATTCATAGGAGAGAAACGTGAGCATCCCAAGAGCAAGAAAATCTGGCAGGAGGCACGGGTACAAGAGGTGACACCTGAGGTCAGCCCAGCAGTGACCTGTGGACCTCACTCAGGTGGGATGACAGGTTTCATGCTTTTCTCTTTCAGAATTGTGTCCCCAACCTCCTTCGTGTATGGTGAGTCTGTGGACTCGTCCAACTTCATTCAGCTGGATGACCAGGAGTGTCATTTCCAACCACTGAACGTCACTCTCCAGGTATGGGCCCCGGGGGTGTGTCCACTGATGAGAGGGCCAACTTTTATCTTTGTCTTCAGAGGGAACTGTTCCGGTCTGTTTTTTCAGTTGGGGGCAGCAGGGCAGAGAGAGAGAACCACACACCTGCAGACCTCTGTGTTTTGGGAATTTAGAACAGCCACCCCAAAGAACAGAGGTTCTCAGTGTTCCTAATGCTGAGACCCCTTGATGCAGTTCCTCATGTTGGGGTGGCCCCCAACCATAAAATTATTTTTGATGCTGCTTCTTAACTGTAATTTTGCTGCCGTTGTAAATCATAATGTCAATGCCTGAAATGTAGGACATCTGATAGGCGAACAACAGATGTGGAGCCACTGCCAAAGAACAAGACCTTTGCCAGGAAGGCTTGTTTGGGCCACGATCCAACACACACACACACACACACACACACACACACACACACACACACACACACACACACAC